TTCTCCCAGGAAGCAAGTGGATGCTCTGAAACTCAAAAGAAGCAACACCTTTCATTTTGCTGCACAACTTGATACTGACGGAGCCACCAAAGCCCCTGGTCCTGGTCTCTCACTGTTCCTGCTGCTGGGCTCCGTCAGTTCACAGGTCACAGCCTTCCCCCCGCAGGTTTTCCAAAGCTGTAAATTGCACAGGAGGAGGCTGCCCATCTTTCTCCAGTGGAGCAGCTGGTGGATCAGAGCCCTAGGCCCTTGAATTGGCAGCACAGCTGCTTGTCTCTAAGCCACAAGGGCTCCCTGGTCTATCATAAGATCACTGTCAAACCAAAACCAAACCCACTGTTCTTAAAACAGTTTCAACTCATGATGCACTTCATAGCTGAACTAAGGCTGTAATTTGTATGGGAAGATATTGCCCATCTTTGTCCTGTGGAGAAAGTGGTAGATTCAAATCACCTGAGAGGCTTGGCCTTGGGGACCAGTCCAACTCCTTATGGACTATTCCAACAGAGGTCTTAACCTACCATGTTGTTGTTATATGCAGTCTGATTGTAACTAACTCAGAGCCTACCCTCCAGCAGGTTTTCTGAGCCAGCAGATTGCACAGAAGGAGATTCCCCATCTTTCTCTCACAGAGCAGCTGGTGGATTCAAACCACATGCCTTTGGATTGGCAGTACAGCTCCTTACCACTAGGTCATTACAGTTTAGTCTACCATTGTTGTTGTGTGCACCACCTATAGACATTGAAAATATTTTAAAACATTGCTAATACATTGGAATATGTGACCACTTTTTAACAGTCCACTGTTTTAGTATTTTTCAAAAGTATTGGTCTGTGATAGAGTGATCTTTTGTTCTTAAATAGTCCCCAACAATGGCTGATTTAAGAATGCTTGTTTTTAGACATCAGCTTCTGTATTCCAACACAAAAAATATCTGAGAATGGGACAGGCCTCTGAATCTGTATTCTAACTAGCTACCCATGTCATTCTCCTTTATGCTGAATTTTGAGAACTACTGTTTTAGAGGAAGAGACCACTTAACTACATAACTCACAGGTTTCTCTAAATATTCTTGGATGCCCTTTTGCATGGAGTCATGAAACAGTCCAGCACTTGACTACTAAATGAATGGCTGGTAGTTGAGACCCACCCAACAGATCTGAGGAGAAAGACCTGGAAATCTGCTCCAGTGACGATTCCAGTCAAGGAAATCCAATGACAAATCTCTACTCTGTCCCATAGGGTCACTATGAGTCAAAAATCAGCTCAGTGACACTCAGTAACATTTTGCCGGTGATCCCCTTTAATAGCCACAGTGTGGAAGAATGGCGACTTCTACATAACTGATGAAGGTACCCATGAATTGAACTGTTTTGCTACTGAATTGTGTTAGTTTGTCATGGAAACTCTCGGGCAGCAGTCTCTAGAGGACTTGTAGAGACCTGCAGTTTCTAGCTACTGCTCCTCTACTAGTGAAAGACACTTTTGAAGTCACTTCATGGCCATGTACAGGGAAGTTGTTGTGTAGGGCTCTCTGCACCACCAGTGTCCATGAAGTCGCTGGCACTGCTTTTGGGCTGTCTCTCTGTAGAGCCTTCCAGCTCTAAGCCATGCCCTGCTGATGAAGAGCAGTCAGCAGCGTCACAGTCACCCTGGAAACCATCACCAACCTCACAGAACCTAATCCCTATAAAGATCTCTAGAGGTAGCAATGCATACCAAAAGGCTTCTTGCTTCTTTCCGCTTTAAAATAACCAAATAAAAAGAAATTTATCTGGTGGTTTGAACCCTCCAGGCATTTAGAGGAAGAAGAGAGATGATCTCCTTTTGTGCTACTTAAAGCCTCCAAAAACCCACTGCAGAATTGGCTATGAGTTGATTCCATCTGGATAGCAAGAAGAGTTGTTGAATTGGATAAATGGCCTTTTCAGTCACCATATCAACTTCTTAATAGGTAATTTTATGAAGAGGAGAAAAATTTTCAGAAAGAAGTAGCTGTCAAATAGAAAAGAATTTCCTGTATGATCCATGCTGGAGGTTCCCATGCTGGCACCCCACTGTGCTAAGAACCCAGGGAGCACAGCTTCTCCGGGGTACTTTCTGAATGCACTGACTCCTTGCCACTCTTTATTACCTTCACCTGTATCACAGTCACTTGAAGACAACCAAAAGAGTGGTCATAGTGGGTTCAGTAGATCAGTTGTGGTAGAATTGGTAGGAAATAGGAAATAACAGATGATAACATCATTTAGACAGACTTCTTAAAAACAACTAAACTTCATAGAGTATCAAATGATATGGTTTACTCTTAGCCATACTTCTGTGCCATGCCTTTAAATTTACATCTTTGCAATTGTAACCATTTTTCTCTTCTGAGATAGCATCCTTTCTATTCCCTTTCCTCTTGTCTATGAGGCAGTTCCATTAAGAACAAAGCCGTACCTTTTCTAGGATGCTCTGGGGGCCTGTGGGTAAGAAGCTGCCCACAGGAGAAGGATAAGCAATCTCCCCCCATGTGATTTACTCCCTCTGAAAACCCACTGGAAGGTCAGCTATGGGTTCGTTCCAACTTGATGGTACCTACCAGCAATATACCTTTTCAAGGAATCCTTTATGGATCTCCAAGTCAAATTAAGCTACTTTTGTCTTTCAACTCCTCTTCGACAGGAATTTCATTTTGTCAGCATGTTATTGATTGAGGAATGAGATTACCTTCTATAGACAGATACTGGTGATAGTAGGAACTAAGTATGATGTAAAGATACATATATTGTTGGTTGACATCTAGTGTGACTCATAGCGACCCTATGAACAAAAAGCCTGAAGCCTATCGTCATTTCTCCAGATTCATAGAGTTTCCATAGGCATGTGGTATAGGAAGTGGATGCCACTCCTGCTTCCAAACCTGTCTTAAACTGAGAACTCCATCAAACACTGTCATCTATGGGCAGCCATTATGGCATTTGACCCACAATGATAAAATGCTCAGCTTCACAGCAAACCTAGATTACCTTAGTACAACACATTGACAGAAGGGTGCTATACAACACTCTCACTCTCTTTCTCTCTGTCTCTCTCCTCTCTTCTTCCTCTTCCCCCTCCTCTGTGTGTGTGTGTTTGTGTGAGATATGTATATGATATGTGTGAGATAGATAGATAGATTATATATATAATCTACCTACCTAGACCAAGATGCCATTGTCTGAACAGAGAAGGGGAACACTGCGTTGATTAAAATCCATAATGGTGTACTTTGGGACTGTATCCTCCCATACCTTTTCAATCTGTATGTAAAGAAACTCATTTGAGAAGCTGGACTTTATGACAAGGAATGTGACATCAGAATCAGAGGAAGATTTTACAGCCTATGTTAAGCAAATGACATAATTTTGTTTGCCAAAAGTGAGAAGTACCTGAGGTGCTTATTTCATAAGGTCAAAGACTACAGCATTCACTATGGATTCCATCTCAACATCAAGAAAATAAAAATTCTCACTACCATGCCAAGAAGCAAAATTATGATAGATGGAGAGAAGATTGAAGTGATTATATATTTTGTCTTGCTAGAATCCACAATAAATACCCTTGACAATAGCAGTCAAAAAAATAAACATGTGGCATTGGGGAAGTCTTTTGTATTGAGGAGTGTATTGTGTTGTGTACTATGGAGTCAGAACCTACCCATAGCGCACCCTCCAGCAGGTTTTCAGTGACAGTCAATAGCAAGGGAGGAGATTGCCTGTCCTTCTCCTGCAGAGCAGCCGTGGCCTTGAACCATGTGTCTTTGTGATTGCAGTGTGGCTTCTTGCCACTAGGCCACCACCAGAGCTGCCTTAGTGATGTCAGTTTCTAATCCATGGTCTTTTCAGTTGCTTCATCGTCTTCAGAAATCTGGACATTGATTAAGGGAGATAGTAACAGAATTGAGACCTTTGAGTTACAGTATTTTAAAAAAGTGTTGAATATCCATGGACTGACAAAAAAACCAAACAAGTATGTCTTGGAGAAGGTGCAGCCAGGATTCTCCTTAGAGGGAAGAATATTAAAACTCCACATCACTTACTTTGGGCATGTGGTTAGAAGAGGCCAGTCCTTGGAAAAGGACATCATGGTTAGAAAAGTGGAGGGTCAGTGAAAGAAAGAAAAGCCTCAACAAGATGGAATGACAACGATGGCTAGAGCAGTGGTCTCGAGTATAGCAGGGATGTTCAGGTCCACTGTTAATACGGTCGCTATGAGTCATGGTCGACCCGAGGCATCTAAGAACAACAGTTAATGATGGTGGTGGCAGGACTGGCAGAAGAAAGTTCTTTAGCCTGGACCAGGCTCTTTAGCCTGATGATTATTAAATTTTATAGCTGTCTATTGGAAACATTTTTAAAACCTTTAAGTGATAGTTCCAATGAGAAAAATAAGTTATATTTGAATGTTGAACTTTGTGCCTCTTAACTCCATTTCTTTCCATTAAGCTAAGCATACGGTTGTTCCATTACACAGTTGAGTTTTACAACTCTTCAAGCAGCTATTTTATAATCCTTATAGTAATTAAAATAAATCATTTATATTCAGTTTTTCATAACATTTGTTTCTCTGGCCCATAATCTTTTGATTACAAAATCAGACTGTACTTGTCTGTCAGTGTGATTAAATAGCTACAAACAGGTTGGGCATATGTATATAATATGTTATATTGTAACTCCAGTTACAAACCTATCACTCACCAGACAGTGATATCCTGGATTCATGTAGGTGAGTGATGCTGTCTTTTCATCCCTGGGTCTCTACCCACAAAATCTATTTAACAAGTGTTTCTGAATGGTATCATATCCTAGTATGCTGTGTGCCTCCATTAAGTGTGGGAACTTCGCACCCACACAGAGTGGAAGTTAAAGCATTACAAGTGTAAAGATCACAAGGAAGTGAAGACAGAACAAAGGCCCCATGCTGTCATCGTTCCTCATCACAAATAAAAAGCAACTGAATTGTCTTTTCATTTCAGGAATCCTCATCATGATGTCCATGTGCAGAGAAGTGCACGTGTACGAATACATCCCCTCTGTCCGGCAGACAGAACTTTGTCACTACCACGAGCTGTACTATGACGCAGCCTGCACGCTTGGGGCGTACCACCCACTGCTCTATGAGAAGCTCCTGGTGCAGCGCATGAACACGGGGGTCCAGGAGGATCTGCATCGGAAGGGGAAGGTGACCCTGCCTGGGCTCTGGGCTGTAAGCTGTCCTGCACCCAATCCCGTGCCGCACGCTTAACGAGAGACTGTGGGGAATCTATGTGCAATAAGTACTACTGATGTGCTCTGTTTTACAAAAGAATACTTGAAGATAGGTTTTAAACAATGTAGGCTTGAGTCTTTAAACTGTTAACTTAGTGGTGGCCACAAGAATTCTTGTCTTATTGAGCCATTGAGTATTTATTACTGCTTTGACTAGAGAAATGGAATAATAACTAAGAGCTCAAAGATGAAAACAAATCCACCCAACAGTAACTAGAATGAAAACAAATGAATAGCCATGGGAATGACACCTCCAGAAATTGTCAGGCTTCTCTCCAGCTAGGAAAGCAGTTATCAGACTTGTTTCTAGTTTAAGGATATACCTTAAATGATGAAATAGTTCATACCTCAAAACATCTAAGTTGAGGTCCAGGTATCTGTGGCATCCACATCATCATTAAATATCCTGGATTTGATGCTGAATGTCTGACTTACACCTGAGGTGTGGTTTTCCCAGTGAAAATCCTCACCTATCCAAAGGGCAGCACCTGTTACCCAGCCATTACGTGACCTGTCTCTTCACTTTTCTGCCAAGTATTTCTCTATTTGCTTATCAGGACACACTTCTGACATCATCTGACAAAACATAGTTCTTCACCAGCCCAAGAAAAAGCAAGCCTCTGGATAGGTCCAGAGAGAGACCTTGTTTTCCTACAGCATTTTGTTCTGTGATGACGAGTCTTCTGTCACACAGACCAAGAAGCACATCACTGGAAAATACAGTTATTTAAATATAAATGTATTTAAGTCCCAGGACTGTGGGGTGGTACTGGCCATTGCATGGCTCCAGCTCTTCTGCCTTATATCACCTCGCCTGCAAGTCTACGCCACAGCCCTTGAAGCTCATACACTCAAACTTTCTCGTTGGCATCAAATCAGAACTCTTCATAGCTGATATTCCAATGGATTTTCAGTGGCTACTGTTGTTATGTACCATCAAGTTGGATTGACTCCTAACTGATGCTCCAGTGGGTTTTCAGCGGGAGTAAACCTCATGAGAGGAGAGTGCCCTTAGCTGATGGATCCGAACCACATTAAGAAAACCAAAATCCTAACCATTGGTCCAATAGGCAACATCATGACAGACAGAAAAAAGACTCGAATTGTCAATGATTTCATCTTCCTTGGATCCATGATAACACCCCTGATAACAGTAGTCAGCAAATCAAAAGGTGTGTTACATTGGGACAGTCTGCTGTCAAGGACCTCTACAAAATACTAAGGAACAGCGATGACAGTTTAAAGACTAAGGTGTACCCAATCCAAGCCATGGTCTTTTCAGTTACTTGCTATGAATCTGAAAGATGTACAGTGTCTAAAGATGACAGGAAAAAGAATACGTGCCTTTGGGTTGTGGTGTTGCAGGAGAGTACTGACTACCCAAAGGGCTGACAGAAGAGCAAACAAGTTGGAGAAAATGCAGCCGGGGTACTCCTTGGAGGTAAGGGTGGTGAAGCCTCGGCTCACAAGCTTTGGAAATGTTGTTAGAAGAGGCCAGTTCTTGGAAAAGGATATCATGTGTGGAGCGGTAAAAGGTCAGCATAAGAGAAGAAGGCCCTCAATACTATCAATCTATACAGTGACTTTATAAATGGGATCAAGTATATCACAGGTGGTGAGAAGGACAAAGGATAGGGCAGAGTTCATGTCTGTTGTTCACAGGATTGCTGTGTATCATAGCCAGCTTGATAGCACATAACAACAATAAATTGCATGGAAGTTGATTATCCATCCTTCTCCTGAGTAGCCTCATGGATTTGATCTATCAGAGAGATGCTACCTTTGAGTTACTAGTGTAACTCTCTACCCATTAGGCCACCTGACAAGTTTTCCAGCACTTTGAAGAAAGGTTCCTTTCAGTGTTTTAGGAAGGACTGCAAAGCCATTGCCCTGTGATGTGTGAGATGCACACCCAGATCATAGACAGACTGGAAATAAAAATAGTCCCAACTGGGCATAGAGATAGCATAAAATTGTAACTGAGTCTTCCTACAAACATCGAAGAATCCAGCCCTTCTTTTCCTAGATAAGTTTTATGTCAGCAACATGACAAAGCCATATAATTAAATAAAAATGTGTGAAAATATTGCTCTTTAACAACAAGGAAAACTTATACTTCAGAGGAAAAGCAGCTTGGAAGGGAATTTACATCCCAACTTATTGAGATATACTCAAAGTTGGTTTTGTTTTTTCCTTCTACATCACAACTTCTGCTACTGCTATATTGAAAAACCACTTTTTCCCCCTTTTGTTATGAGCAAACCCTATGAATCTGGAGAAAGGATGAAAGTTATCAAGTGTTCTGGGTTTTTCGTTCATAGGGTCACTGTGAGTCGCCTACAAGTCGATGGCACTTAACAACAACACAACAGTGAGCATAATGAAAAGCTGACATTTTAAAGTTCCTTAATTAAGCATGCTATTTCCATATATAATGAAATGATATCTGAGTGGTACGTTTAAGACTTCTTGGCGTTGACAACAAATAGCAGCTTAATTATATTCTTTTTGCAAGTGTGTGACTGTTAGGAGAGGTTAGTTAAGAAGCTTTTTGTTTTGTTTCCCCCCTCCCCCATGTTATCAAGACTACTTCATTAAACAAGCACATTTTACAGAAACTGGCAGCTCATGTTTGACTAGTCTGCTCAGTAGAAAGCCTTTTGCATAACAGATGTCTTATGGTTTATTTTAATAGCGAAAAGTTAAAACTCAGCTTAAAATCATTGCTGTCAAAGTTTCAGCTTGCAGCTGATCCTTCAGTGGGTGTACAGAGGCTGTAAATAGCTCAGGAGGACATTGCCCATCTCTCTCCTGACAAACAGTTGTTGGATTCGAACCACCTGCTTTTGGGTTAGCAGCATACCCACCAGGCCACCAGAGGCCCCTTGGTGAAAAGTAGAGGTAACTAAAAAGTGCTGATTAGGTTAATACCCAGTAAAAGTCCATTTGGAGAACTTCATTCCTTGACTAGAAAAATGAGCAGTAATTTTGTTCTCTATATTAAGTCCAGGTGGACACTGCCAAGCATGTTTCTTTCTGATTTCCTGAAAGTGCTTCCACTTGTACTCATGTTGATGCATGTTGTAAATTCAATAGCAGCTGAGCTCTGATGAGTTAGCTCTGGCTGGGCATGAACAGGCCTCCTTGGAACTTCCTGAGTCTTTAATAATTTAAGAACTTCTAAGAAGTTCCTCAGTGCTCTCATCTATTTAAGTTCCTTATATGTTCTTCCTAGGGGCTTTATTTAAGGGCATCCTTATTATCTAGGACAGCCCCTCCCCACATGGAGACTTGCCTAGAAGATAATTTATTGAGCTCAATGTAAATATTCAAATTCAGAAGTTTCAGAAAATTCTTCAAAGCTATTTAATAGCTGTTTGTTGTAACGTGTGTAATTTTCAAAAATACTTTCTGTCTCCAGTTTCACTGAGCAAACAGAAGTGCATAAAGGAAAATTCAATAACATTTTAGAATTTATAATGGCCTTAAAAACTCCTAGGAATCATAGTCCAGTAAACATTCAGAAATTGTTGTACACAAAATAATATATTGTTGACTGGAAATTCTTCTATTTAGAAGTTGAAATTGTTTAGTCTCTCAAAAATGTTAGGCTAACACCAGAATTGTTTCTAGTATTAACAAAATTGGTCCTAAGTGGCAATATTTTTCCAGACATTATGAAATCTCTTTATGCCGCACTTACTGATCTACAATACCAACAGGGCCTTTATAAAGAGAAGTTAAAATAAATAATGTCCCATTGCATTTCTCACAGGTTCTGTCCATTCTAACACACCCCATCCTGTCCTGTGAAGGGAAGCTGAAAGAATCCCTCCAGTGAAACGGGAAGCCATTAATTGTCCTCCTTTCTTCACTCTGAGACCTAACAATTATCACATTGCTTTATATTTCAAAAGGACTTCACTTATTATCACAAAGAAGCAAGTAGTGATCAAAAAAGAGTAACTGACTTGTGACTAGATTCTACATTTTTTGTGTCTGTCACAGACATCAAGGTGACTTTTAATAGGTGTAGCATTCTCATGGTCACATCAAATAGCAGTGCTACTGCTCTGCATCTGGCCTTCTAAATTGTAAATTATATTTTTAATAAATTACTTTTACCAAGAATATTTGTCCTAGGCCATGAGGTGGTCATTTAAAAATTGTGTATTAGAAGCATCAGAGAGGCATTTAAATCAACCAAATAAGGAGGCTTTTACACCACTTTGAATCACTGAGTTCTCTGGTCTGGCTGAAAGCTCCAGGTGCCTGTGTCAGAAACAACCCTCCCCCCCCAGAGGTGCCCCGTTCCCAAGTGTCTTGTGCCCTCTCAGCCAGACACTTAATCAGTCCTGTACTCTAGCAGTCATCTGTTATTACAGCCATATCAGATGGATGAAAGTGATGCTTAAACACATTAGCATTTCCAAATTTGAGGAATAAAAGTAGCGATTTAAAGCTACCATAAGGTCACTATATTGTATGTTTATGAACCAGTTTGTTCTCATAAAACCGATTCTACCTTTTGCTATTGACTGACCCTGCCAGGCAGGAGCCTTTTATAACCACTAAATTAATTAGGCCCTGTTTTGGTGCATTAAGTTTACTCACTCTCAAGTGAGTAATGGAATGTGGTAGAAGAATTTTATATGCGCAAATGACATCTTTAAACTCCCCTTAGCCCTTCTTATAAATCAGTACACAGTGTGCATTTCAGGGGTGGTCAGAGTTCCTAGGTTCCACTACTGCTTAGCCATGAAACAGTAGGAATCATCTCTCAACCAAAGGGTTGGCATTTGAAGTGTACCAAGAGGTACCTTGGAAGAAAGACCGGTCTATTTTTTTTTTAAAAAAATCAGTCATTGAAAACCCTGAGACACATGGAATTCTTCATGAGTAGAAATCAACTATATGGCACTTGGTTTTGACTTATTTGAAGGGTTTGTTGTTTTTATTGGAAAGATAGATGAAATG